ATTGTTATTGTTATTGTTATTGTTATCCCTCATCCTGGATCACCCCGATGCCTATGTTCAAAGAGTTAAAGAGATGATGCAGAGGGAAGGGAAAGCGCTGCCTCAGTCCAGGAGTCCAGGTCAGGCTTCAAATGGTTTCTTTATCTTTTAACCCTTCCTTGTCTGTTCTCCATGTCAGCAGAGTCCTGTTTCTCCAGCTCTGGTTTAAAATGTGCTTTTTCATCCAGGCAATATAGAAACTGCAAAGCACAAACTTTGCTTCATTGTGCTGTGTTGAGTTAAAAGAGGCGATGCAGAGGGAGGGATGCAGTCCAGGTCAGGTTTCAAACAGCCACTCTGTGTGACCCAGCAAGAATGGACTAGTACTTTCCTTCCCTTCCCCCATATCCTGATGTTGAAAGAAAAATCTTCATCAGGGTCCAGTCCAAGCTGGGAATAAACAAAATGGAGACTGCTTTAAAAAGAAGGTTGCAGCTTATTGAAGAGGAGAGCCAGACAGAAAGATGGCTCTGGGAAAACTGACCACATGGAATAGGGAGTGGTGGGTTTTTATACCTTCTTGAGCTTTTGTTTGGAGTTGTTCCTGTGGCACGAACTTTGACCTGAGTCTGAGTGTGCCTTTCTGGTATTCAGATGGTGGTGGGTTAATCCTATTATGTCCCAAAGGTCATATCCTGCTTCCCTGGGGCTGGGGCTGATGACTATGTCCTGTGTTAGATTTTTTTGGTGTGAGGGATTATTTATTCTAGAGATCTTTGTCTTTCTAATGGGGAAATATAATATTCTGCCTTTTAATAGTCCCCAAAACATTTCTTTCTCGGGGGGGGGATGACTTCCCACACTGAGTTCTGCAGATCTTCAGAAGGTAAGCAAGGGATTGGGAGGGGTGGAACGGGTGGGGGGGGCAAAGCAGTGCCTTTGGGGACCCGGAAGTGTAAGGATGTGGGGGGGGGAGATAGGTAAGCTCTGCAAACTTACGAATTCTACAGAAGCCACCAGATCATTAGTAAGTGTGAATGACCAGCTGGCTTCTGTAAAATTCGTAACTTTGAAACTGGGTCATACATAGCTTTTGGGAGGTCTGTCGTAATTTTGAACAGTTACTAAATGATCTGTTGTACCTCGAGGATTACCTGTAAAGCAGTACTAGAATGTCACATGATCTCGATTCTATCCCTCTATTAATGCAGCCTAGGATTGCACTGGCTTGGTGGCTGCTGCTCACGACTGGCTTATATTTAAGGGATTGTCCACTAGGACTCCAAGATCCCTCTCACAATTACTGCTATTGAGTCAGGTTTCACCTAATCTGAACCTGCACTTTTGTTTTTTCTTGCCTGTGTAAAACTTTACTTTGCTCTATATTGAATTTTATTTTTTTAGGTGGGGCCCAGTGTTCAAGTCTGTTGAGCTCCATCGGGATCTTGAGTGCATTGACTAGATTTTGGTGCACATTAAATTATCGAGTATCAATCGATAATTCATACTAAATATTGCTTTATTTGAACTCACATTAATTGCGACCTACCTGTGATGATTCCTCAGGGTAATGATTATACCATGTTAATTCTACAAAATTAAATTAAATGAAAAGATCACCTTTTGGGATCATTAACCACACTATTCCTCAGGAGAAAAATGACAGGAACAAATCTAATTAAGGACTATTTAGAAATGCATTGTCCATAATATAAGCATGAAGTTACTAATGAATGAAGCAAAAGCTACTTTAAAATATAAATCAGCTACAAAATACCTATTGAAGAAGGGGGCTTTGTTAAGAATTAGCCAGTGCAGCTATCCCTGCTAATTTCTTTCAAGTCAAAATAACATGACTTGCACATTTTCCTAAAAAATATTTGAAAAGATCAAAATAACACAAATAACAAGATTCTACAGAAAACCCAGAAATGAAATGGATTGGGACTAGCGGTGGGATTCAGCCGGTTCGCACCACTTCGGCAGAACCGGTAGCTAATTTTTTTCTTGCCCAGGCCCAGAACGGACTTCCGGAAGCGGCGTCCACGCAGAGAACCAGCTGTTCACATATTTGAATCCCACCACTGATTGGGACTGACACGGGCTACTCTTCAATACAACGCACAGTCAAAGATGTAAAAAGGCTGGTGGCAGATGCATCAAAGATTGTGAGATCTTCAGCAGTTTCAATTGAACGTCTTTTTATGGGGTGGCGATGGGGGCTCCATTTCCCTATCCAATGATTTGCCGCCTTAACGTTTGTCAACCTCCCTGCGTGGTAGACCCCTTTTCTATCAAACAGCAAGGCGAGGCAGGCCTCTAGAGCAGGGGTGTCAAACTGCCAGCCCACAGGCTGGATCCGTCATGCCAAAACCACACCTACTCCATTGCTGGCAATGGGGAAAAAGTCGCAACACGTCATGTGACGTTGTGAGTTTGACAGCTCTACTCTAGAGAGTCCTTTATTGCTCTCAAGAAATGTTCCAACAAATGGCCCTTTGATGACTAGTAAGGCTCCACCCCCACGCTACCCTGAAGGCAGCCACCCACAGTCCCTCAAACAACGGCCCGCATATTACAAAGAAAAGTTTGCGGAGTAGGAGCACGCTCACAGGGCAAGGTCCAGGGTCCTAAGTCCAGTCCACCCAGTTAAGCACGCCCACAAGGCAAGGGCAAGACACAAAACGAAAGGCGGTCCTCAGGGCAAAGGCAAGAGACAAGGCAGAAGGCAGTTCTCCAGGCAGGTCACGAGTCAAAGTCGGAAGAGTGTAAGCCAAAGCAAACAATTGTTCCTGGCAAAGGCTAACTCCCCACCACTTCTTTTTAAGTCAATCCACTCCAGACGTTCCTTGTGAGGAGAGGTAGAGCGACCTTCTCTTGGGTAACCTTGCAGCCCTTCTCTGAGTTTGCCTAAGGTCCACTCTCCGTGCCCTTGGATCGAGCGGGGGAGGCATCTGTTCTTCATCAGAGGGGGATCTGCTGCCTATTGGCACGAGTGCCTGTCAGCAGCCGATCCTCCCGTGTCTGTGAAGGCAGGCAGCTCTTCATCCGGTCGACTACCTTCCTTCCTCAATGCCTGAGGGGCCTGGGACAGCATTGTCTTCAGCCCCTGGCCTCTCCAAACATGCCAAGGGAGATGTGCCATCCCTGTCGGATGGTCCCAGTTCCAATTCCTTCTCTTTCTCTGAATCGGACTCTGATGGGCCCATGACAGGCCATTAACTAAACAGTATATGGAATAACCATTCTTCATTATTGTGCCTCCTCAAAACACTAAATGTCTTCTTCTTCTTTATTTCAATAGCATCTTCTAAGGCAGGGGCCCCCAGTCTCTGGGCTGTGACCCAGTGCAGGGCTGCAGCCCATTTGGAACCGGGCTGTGGAAGTGATGGGTGAGTGAGCACACACACGTGTGTACAAAGCTGTATTTGTGAAAGTGGCCCCTGTGCGCGTGAAATCATCCTCTGCCCCACACATACCGCTGCCACCTCTGCTGATCTGGAAAAGTTGGAGACCTCTGTTCTAAGGGAACTGATAAAATGTACTGTGATCTTTCTAGGTCTAAATGATTAAATACGCTGATCTTTGTACGCCCTGAGTTTTTTTTTTGTTTGTTTGTTCTTGACCCCATGTCTTAAAGGAACTTATGCCATCTTGGTCATCCCTGGTATTTGGAATTTATCAAGACATCAAATCCTGGACATTTTGGTCATGGACATCGAGTGCAAGAATTATTACAAACCACTGAAAGGAGGTATAGGTGATCTCATTAAACAACCAAAATTGCAACAGGCAACTCGGTTATTAAACAAAAGCAGTCATTAAATGAAACCACAACTGTGGGACTTTTTTTTCCAGGAAAGGGGCAAAGAAGGCTTTCACCCAATTGATTTATTTTTTTTCCTTTAGTTTTTGGCTTATCATTTTCCAGTTCTTGAAGCGCAGTCCTTAAGGTTACCAAGGAAGGAGGTGACTAAGGCTCTACCATCCACCCACTCGGACATTATTTCTTCTGGAGTTAGAGTCAGGCTGAACCCCGCTGGCCTTTAGTAAATTCCTTGTTTTCTTTCAGACGTCCTTGAGATCGGGAGAGAGTTAAGCCCCAGAGTTTGTCTGTTCATCTCCCACTTTTATCATTTCCATAAAGAACTCAAGGTTGCGGACATACCTGATGCTCTTTCCTTGTCCTCCATTTTCCCCACAACAACCCTGTGGAGATAGGATGACTGGCCCCAAAATCCCACAGCGGATTCTTGTGCCTGAGTCAGGACTTGAACTGACTGCCTCCTGGTTTCTAGCCTGCTGCCTTAACCACTACAGGTCATCCTCGACTTACGACCAGAATTAAGCCCAACATTTCTGTTCTTGACTGAAACATTTGTTAAGTGAGTTTTGCCCCATTTTACGATTTTTCTTGCCACAGTTGTTAAGTGAATCGCTGAAATTGTTTGGTTAGTGACATGGTTGTTAAGTAAATCTGGCTTCTGCATTGACTTTGCTTGTCAAAAGACACAGAAGGTGATCACGTGACTCTAGGACACTGCAACCATCATAAATATGAACTAGTTGCTAAGCATCCAAATTTTGATCACATGACCGCAGGACTGCTGCAACGGTCACAAGTGTGGAAAATGGTCATAAATCACTTTTTTCAATCCTGTTGTAATTACGGTCACTAAATGAACTGTTGTAAGTCAAGGACTACCTGTAAGCTAAATTGAATGAATTTGTGGCTGATGGACCACATCCTTGGTGGACATTTTTCTTTTGTGCATTATATTTATTATCTTTTGTTCTTGTATTGATATTTTTATTGTGTTGGCTGACCAGAGCTGCTTAAGTCAGCTGGGTGGCCATATATTCTAATTAATAAATAAATTTCTAAAAGTTTTGAATCAGTAGAACAGACTGAAATATCTATTGAATTCTTGCAAAATGCTTTGATGTTTACTTTTTAAGCTTTCAAAGAGGGCTAGTCCAGAGGGAGGGGGATGACAGACCCCATCCTTTCTACTCCTCCTTGCCCAGAAAGCATCCACTATAACAGTGATGGCGAACCTTTTAGAGACAGAGTGCCCAAACTGCAACCCAAAACCCACTTATGCATCATCGGGTGCCGGGTGGGTGTGGCCCATCGGGTGGGCGTGGCTGCGGTGGTAACAGCAGACTGGGTGGGACTAAAAAGTTCAATCAATCAATCAATTCCAACTTTGCAAGATCTTCCCCCCCCCCCCCGAGAAGTTGAAATTGACTGATTGATTGAACCTTTTTTTTTTTTGCACACGGCAGCGGAGGCCTAAAGTGAAAAGGTTTTATAAAACCCAGCTGAAGGCCTAGGACTAGGGCGACGGCGTGCGTGCCCACAGAGAGGGCTCTGAGTGCCGCCTCTGGCACCCGTGCCATAGGTTCGCCACCACTGCACTATAATATGGGGGACCTCTTTTCCATCAGTCGAGGCTCTCCCCACTCTTGGGCCAGGCCATTTGTCCGAAATGGTATAGGACAGTGATGGCGAACCTTTTAGAGACCGAGTGCCCAAACTGCACCCCAAAACCCACTTATGCATCGTCGAGTGCCGGGTGGGTGTGGCCCATTGGCTGGGTGTGGCCCATTGGGTGGGCGTGGCTGCGGTGGTAACGGCAGACTGAGTGGTACTAAACAGTTCAATCAATCAATTTCAACTTTGCAAGATCTTTTTTTTCCCGCGAGGTTGAAATTTACTGATTGAAACTTTTTTTTTTTTTTTTTTGCACATGGCGGGCCTAGAGCGAAAAGATTTTATAAAACCCAGCTGAAGGCCTGGGACTGGGGTGACGGCGCGTGTGCCCACAGAGAGGCCTCTGAGTGCCGCCTCTGGCACCCGTGCCATAGGTTCGCCACCACTGGTATAGGATTACCTACCTGAGCAGGGGGCTGGACTAGATGACCTGCAAGGTCCCTTCCAACTTTTTTATTATTATTATTATTATTATTATTATTATTATTATTATTATTATTATTATTATTATTATTATTATTATTATTATTATTATTACTGTTGTTGTTATTATCCTACTGGGCCCCTGAAGAGCCCAGAGAGGACCTCTCAGAGGCAGGAGAAGCTGCCCTCCTGCAAGGGGACCAGGAGGGCTCTGGCCGGTCACTGAGCTCCTGTCTCCCAAAGGGCCCCTGGATGAGGCCCAGAGACCAGCCACTCGGCCCTCAGCCTGAGGCAAAGGTGGATCTGAAGGAAAAGCTGCCTCTGTTGCTGCCCCCACCAAGCCAAGACCAAGCGGCCATTTTGCGGAAGATCAGCTGGAGATGCTGGAGAAAGATCCGGACCCAGGAGCAAAATGGCTGCCTCCTCCCCAAGGAGCATACAGGAGTCCCCCCCCCAGTTCTTGCTCCTTCCAGATTTTGCCTTGGTTCCTCCCCTTCCTCCCACTCAAAACGAAATTGGTCTTTCTGAGCAAAATGAGAGTAAAATCCTATTTCCAATCTCTTCAAACAGGCAGCAACTCAGGTAAGAGGCAAAAAAACCCATTTATTTTCAGCAAACAACTTTGACAAACTTACAATCTAAGTGCAATTATTAAAGGAGCCAGCAGCCCGGCCGTGCAATGGATCTCATGCTCTGTTTTTCTAAAGCATGAAAATCCATAAATGGCAATCTATTAAAAAAAATCAGAGTCTTAATGTTTCACTTGTTATACTGATTATCTGTCAAACTTTGAATGATCAAATATATGCTCAATTAACTGTGCAATAATCAATTAAAAAGGATTTTAGTGACAAACATCTCAGAATGCACGCTTCTTCTTTTAGTAATAGTTTCCTCGAAGATAACATTTAAACTTATAAAACTAACACAAGGAAAAAAAGAAAAAGAAACACCTACCTTTATCCCCAACTATAATAAAATTAACAACTTATACATCTCTCTTAAAGTAAAACCAAAAAACTCTTCATCCTCTCCCTCACCCCATTCCCTATAAACCCATCTCTAACACATCATCTTTAACCTCTAATCTCTATTCACTTAAGATTAACCAGCAAAAGCCCATTGAGGATATTATGCAACCTACCTATTATAAACTATTATCTACGAAACCCAATTTGAAATCTTTCGATACCACAATTAGTAACACATAATCTATTCTTTTCTCCTGTGATCCTCAATCATAATTAAAAAAGGTTACTGATTCTATGATAAAAGCAATGATGAAAGACCCCAAATATATCCTGGGCCCAACATGCTGGAAGGGCCTAATTCAGAAGAAGATTGATTTTCAATTCTTTCCTCCCTCCTTAGGCTGGGAGTGACCATCGTGCTGCAAAGAGGATGGAAAAAGCATCCAAGGGTTAGTTATATCCAGACAGTCAGAGCCTGAGAGATGCCAGAGGATAAGAGTTGGGGGGCAGGTAGATCCCTCCCCAGAGCCCCAATGCCTCTCCCCCAAATTCCTTCCCTTGCAGTGTTTGAATTGAATATAAGAGGGAAGATGGTTTTCCCAAAATATCTTCCTTGGACCTCAAAGCCCTCACCTCCCTCCCTCTCCCCCCAATTCAGCCTCCATGGGGGCCACTCACCTGCCAGGGGGCTGCTAAGCAGTTTGGGTTTTCCCTGCATTGGAGAGAAAGACACAGAGTGAGTTTCTGCCTTGTCTGGATCCTCTGAGGAGGACAATAGAGAGAGAAGCGGGAAGTCGGAGACGTCGAAGTGCTTTGAGAGTCTCCTCTGGTCCGAAAAATAAGTAAATAATAATTTGAAGATACAGTGGGTAGAGAGAGGTTCCACTGAGATCCGTTAAATGCCATTTTAAGTTATTTTACGGTGTATCTTGTAAATTTTGTTATTTAACTTACTGGTCTAAGGGGGTGGTCTATACTTTGCCATTGCTCTGAGAAGAAGATCATATCTGGTGTGTGACCGTTGTCCTGAGTCAGGCCCAAGATGGACCTAAGATCAGGCAATCCATCATATCTGTCTGTCTGTCTGTCTATCATCTATTTATCTATCAAATATTAAACTTCTATGCCACCATCTTGTCAAGGTGACTCTAGACAGCTTACAATAAAACTCAATAAAAAGCTATGTAGAATATTTAAAACAATAAAAACCAGATCCCCCCCACCAGATCACATTGCCATTGCTCGGACAAGAAGATCATATCCGGTGTGTGACCGCTTTCCTGAGCCAGGCCCAGGACGGTCTGGGAGAGGCCCATGGCAGCCGTGAACTCCTGGGCCCCTTCTGAGGCCAAACCAAGGGAGGGCAGATTGAAGTCTTCCAGGACCAGAAGCCTGGGGAACTCTCTGCCAACACTAAGATGGCCCCCAGCGGCTGAGGGAGAGGGGGTGAGGGTGCCCACGTAGCAGGGAGGTACAGCAGGTACAGCAGCCACAAGCCCAACTGATCCCGTGAGCCCAGATTCAGAAACAGGGAGTCACAACCAGAAACGTGGGGTTCAAGGCCCCTGAGGGCCCAGAGGGATTCTCAGAGGACCACTGCCCCCCCACCTGCCCTGCCCTGGGGTCTCGGTTGGGGCCAAAGCCTAAACCCTAATCTCTGAGAGGGGAAACCCACCCCACTTCCAGAATCAGCCAGGTCTCAGGTATGCCAGCAGAAGAGTCTCTAACCACTGGGGATCACGGTATCACAAGTGATTCCCCTATTTCCCACCAAGGAATTGAGGGCTCTCTCTCCTCCAAAGGGGGCCAGGCTCCACCAGGCAGACTCTGGGCTGCCTCCCCTGCCTGAATCCAACAGGGAGAGTTTCCCTTCTCCTCTGCAGAACAAATCAGGGCAAGGAAAGTGGATTTTGTGACACCCAGCTGGCTTTCATGCCTAAGGTGGGACTAGAACTCACCGTCTCCCAGTAAGTCTCACTTGGTGCCCTCACCACTAAACCAAACTGACTCTATTTTAATTATTTCAGCAGAACCAGACCCAGAGGGAACACAGGGAGGATGAATTAATGGGGGGAGGAGGGGGGCTTTTAAAAACTGGGGGGCTTTCTCTCTTTCACTCTCCCCACCCGCCCAAAGTCTGGCAAAGGGACAGAATGGCTGAAGCAGCAGCAGCAGCTCCCTCAGACTCACCCTGGCTGGAACTGTTGGATCCTTCCTCACTTGCTGGAAAAGAAAGAAAGAAAAAGAGAGTGAGGAAGTCACTCTGTTGGCTGATAGATGGAGAAACTCAGCTCTTTCTGACTCCAGCTCCCTCCCTCCCTCCCTCTCTGTCGCACACACACAATCAAAGACACACAAATACATGGTGAGAGTTTGAACCAGACTGCTTGGGCTAAAAGGCACAGGAAAGAATTCCTAAAAATTATTTGTATATCAACACAGAGCGATAGTTTAGCAATTCTTAAGCCCGAGGGCAGAGCTGACCTAAAAAGATACACATGGCTCCAAAGTCTCTTTTTATAATTACTTCATACATAGAGAGCCTTGTGATGGGAGACCAAGAGGAGATCCAGCTTTGGTATCCCCCAAAGCTCCTTTTCCTGAAGGCAGGAAAGAAGCAACGGGTGGAAACTAAGCAAGGAGAGAAGCAATCTAGAACTAAGGAGAAACTTCCTGACAGTTAGAACAATTAACCAGTGGAACAACCTGCCTCCAGAAGTGGTGAATGCTCCAACACTGGAAGTTTTTAAGAAGAGACTGGACAACCATTTGTCTGAAATGGTATAGGGTTTCCTGCCTGAGCAGGGGGTTGGACTAGATGACCTCCAAGGTCCCAACTTTATTATTATTATTATTATTATTATTATTATTATTATTATTATTATTATTATTATTATTATTATTATTATTATTATTATTATTATTATTATTATTATTATTATTATTTTATGGAGCTTCTGATTCTCGTTTCACCAAACCTTTCCTTTCCGCCCACTTGGGAAACAGAGCAGCTTCTCAGCCAGAGGGACCTTCCACCAGCTGGGTCTTCTCACCTTCTGGAAGGTTCCTTATCCCAAAGGTTTCTCTTTGAGGAACCCCCTTCCAAGAACAGCTTGGCTGGGATGAAAAGGGGGCCCATCTTCCCCAGATTGGTTCTTAGGAGGAAGAGAGCATGCACGTGTGCACACATACACACACACACACACACACACACACACACACACACACAAACACACACACAACTGATCATGCCTCTGGTCTCTGTTCTAAGTTGGAGGTTATATGTAAAGAAGACAAGTCACTCACTTGCTGCTTTTTTGTAGTCATCTTGACGTCTCTCTGCAAAAACAAAAATCAGTGAAAGCTCAAAAGAATCCACCAGAGATCATCCAATCTCTCCCTCTTGGGAGGAATACCTTCAGCAGACATTTCACAGTCACTTTGTCTCATTAATAAAGACAGAAAGATCTTCAGAATACAAAAGTATCTCCTGATTTGCCCCAAGGGAGACCTGCTGCCTCCGAGAGGGACGGAGGGAAAGGGGGGAAGCAGCAGCAGCAGCTGGGAGGGGAGGAATATTTTCATGGAAATCCTTCTCTGCTGCTCTTTGACCAAAGACTTTGAAAGGGACGGAACTGGGATGCCTCTTCCCAACTCAGAGGAAGGCAGGATTGTCCCAACCTCAGACTCAGCCAAGTCAAGACTGGAGTCCCAGCAAGAGGCTGAGATCTCAGAGGCTCCCCAAGAGGGCTGGGAAAACAGGACAGGAGGAAGCCCTGAAGAAGCTCCCCAAAGAGAGAGACTTGGGAGGAACCTCCCCATCTTCCTTCCATCACACAGAAAAAGATACTTACTGAAAAACCAGATCCCAACAGCAATCACGCCCAGCAGGACAAGACCAGCCACAACGCCGATGATGATCCCCACGTTGGATTTTGGTTCTGAATTGGGAGAAAAAGCAGATAATTGAAGGAGATCCCCAATCATCCCAATTGGGGAAGAGACCTAAAATAGCGAAAGCTGGAAATTCCCCAAATTAAAACCTTCTATGGGTTCCTCTTCATGTCCCTCTAAGGGTAGCATGAAGGCTCCTTGCTAACCACCGTTAGAGGACGTGTCCTCCTGATGCTGCCTCCTTCTCTCCCCAGCCCAGCATGAAGGCAGCTGAATTCATCTTTTAGCTTTTCCACTCCAAAGCAGCCCTTTGCCATCTTGCGACTCTCAGCAGCTTACAAAACAAAAACTTCACCAACACAATATTGGTGAACAATACAATAACATTTGTTAAACAACGGTTTTTGTTGTTTAGAGGCTGCCCCAGTTTGTCATAATTTAGGCGGCTCTGTACGTTACGTTTTTTCTTCAGTTTGAGTGTTTGCATTTTATTATTTAAAGTAAAAGAGTTCATATCACCCAGCCTTTTTTAAAATATACACTTTCATTTCCTTGGCCAGTCCAGAAATAGCAAAAAATTATATTTTGTGCTTCTAGAACTTCAGCATAAAAAATGGAATAGGGAGACATCCGACTTCTGGACGGTCCCACTAATGGCAGAAACAGAAGAACAGATTTTGAAGGGACCTTGGAGGTCTTCTAGCACAACCCCCTACTCAAGCATTCCAGACAAGTGGCTGTCCAGTCTCTTCTTAGATGCCTCCAGTGATGGAGCACCCACAACTTCTGAAGGCAAATTGTTCCGCTGGTTAATTGTTCTCAATGTTAGGAATTTTCTCCTTAATTTCAGATTGCTTCTCTCATTGATTAGTTTGCATCCATCATTTCTTGTCCTGCCATCTGGTGCTTTGGAAATTAAGTTGACCCCCCTACTCTTTGTGGTAGCCTCCCAAATACTGGAATACTGCTATTATGTCTCCCCCCCACTCCTAGTCCTTCTTTTCTCTAGACTGGCCAAACCCAAAACCTGCAACTGTTCTTCATATGTTTTACTCTCCAGGCCTTTAACCATCTTAGTTGCTCTTCTTTGCACTTTTCCCCAAAGTCTCAACTTCTTTTTTGTAATGTGGTGACCAAAACTGCCTCCAGGTTGCACTTTGTTATGAGTACTCCAGTGGTTTATTGTTCTCACTGTCAGGAAATTTCTCCTTAGTTCCAGTTTGCTTCTCTCCTTGTTTAGTTTCCATCCATTGCTTCTTGTCCTGCCCTCAGGTGCACCCCTAGTCCTTCTTTTCATTAGACTAGATATACCCAGTTTCTGCAATTGTTCTTCATATGTTTTAGCCTCCAGTCTCCTGATCATCTTTGTTGCTTTTCTCTGCACTCTTTCTAGAGTCTCAACATCTTTTTTATATCGTGGCGACCAAAACTGGATGCAATATTCAAAGTAAGGTCTTACCAAAGCATTATAAAGTGGTATTGCTTTGGGAGTCAGTTCTGAGGAGGAAAACTTTAAATTTAAATTTCTCTTGCACAAAACTCAGGACTCCTACTGAATAGCGATCATGCCATTTGTGAATTGATGCTTGCTAAAAACAACAAACACAAATATTTTATTTTGCTTGGGATATCAGCATAAAAATTAAATGTGAACGTTTTTTTTTCTATTGTGATGACAATCATTAATAAAAGATTTAAACTTGAATTCTGCAATTTTGGAAATCCAGTGTAAAAAATGTTAGGGGCAGTTATGAGCATATGCAGAGTTCTTAGAGGGCTTTTTTTCTTAGGTTTTATGCTGAGCCTCAGGAATTCCCATATCGTATCATAAAATAATGTGCAATTTCT